TCGATGTTTCTCTCTCATTGATGTTTCTAGCTCTCTATCCCTCTCCCGTCCTCTCTGTAAAAAATCAATAAAATATATTTAAAAAGAAAAAAGAAAAAAAAGCAGGAATAAGTATTCTTGTTTTGTTACTGACTTGGAAACAGTGTATCTAAAATTTAACATTGATTTATTACTAGGTCTATTGTCTGGTGTAGCTCCCATTGTCAATTTTCTTTTATTCCTAGTTTGTTTCTTTAAGAAAAGTCATGAATGAGGGTTAAATTTTGTAAAGTGTGTTATCTGCTTCATTTGATTGTAAAACCTCCGTCTTCCAGGTTTGTTGGAAAATAATTTGTGCTCTTCAATAGTTGTAGGATTATATGTCTACTATATCCTTATAAATTTATTTTAGCTCAATCTACCAATTTCTGTTAGTGGTATGTTAAGACCTCCGGTTCCTCCTTTTGTAATTCTGTCAGGCTTTGTTTTACGTAGTTTTCACATATTCTTCTCAGCATGAAAATTCCTTATTCTGTCTATAAAGTCTTTCACTTATTACATTAAAAGATTCCCTTTCTTTCAGGGTAGGCTAGTAAAATTGTTTTAATTTTGTTCAACATGTCTGTCTGTCCACACGATTAAAGAAAATCCTTGTTAGCTTGCTGTTTCATTTGCCAGAATTGGAGATTCCAGACCTGTTTTTTTTGTGTGTTTTTTCCCCCCAAGTTTTGTAACCTATTGTCAGCAAATACTTACCCAGGGCAGGTCTTGTTAGTGACACCCAGGAGAAACAGGCCCTGCCCCATCCCACTCTTCAGTCTGGCCTCAGCAGGTCAGGAGGTCCCAAGGGCCCTCTCATGAACCTTCAGCCATGCCCTGCGACCTGCCTACGAGGTTAGCTCAGGTGGGCACACTGTGGAGCTGTCTGGGCAACGACAGAGGTCCCCCAATGGACATGAGGAAGGCCTAAGCTGATCAGGGGGTACTTCTGTCACTGTCTTTCCTCCTTGTTCTTCATCTCAAGGTCATTGATCTCCTCCTCCACTTGTGGGATCAGTTCTTTCCAAACTTCTGAGCTAGTCCTAATGATGCATCCAGTCCACCATTCATTTATCCAGCCAGCTAGCCAGCACCAATATGAACTTGGGCTAGTTGAACTTCAGTTCCCTCATCTATAAAATGAGCATAATAGCATTGACTTTATAGCAGCATTTGCCAACCTCATGGTGTCATCAGTGGGGACCGCTGCTCCAAAGGTTTCCTTAAACCAGTGGTCACCAACCTTTCAGACCTCACGGACTAGTTGGTGACCACTGCTTCATAGGACAGTTATGAATATGGAATTAGACAATTTATGAAGTGACACATACTCTGTTAATATTGCCTGCTATCTCCATCACGCACTCACTGATTCATTCAACTAACACCACCTACTATGTGCTAAGTCCTGAGATAGAAGATACAATTCTTGCTCTTGGAAGTCCCTGTCTGGCAGAGGGTCAAGTGTACATCAGATGAAAGGATGATATAATGAAATGAATAGTCTCAATTCATCATGCTGTAAAAAGCACAAAAGAGACACACCCAACTCAGACTAGAGGAGTGTGTGTGGGGGGTGGGTGGGGGCAGATAAGGCTTCCTGGAAGAGGTGGCACACACAGGAGCTGAGTCCTGAAGTATGAGCAGGGGTTCAAAGAAGGATGCAGGGCATTGCTGGCTGAAACCTAAAATCAGAGAGGTTGTTATAGGGCATTGGAGGTGTGTGTGGACTGGTGAGTGCAGTGAAGCAAGAGGTGCAGGGCCCAGGCCTAGGGTCAAACTAAGGAGTGTAGAAACCGCTATGCAAAAGGCCAGTGAGGAGTTCCAAGCAGAGTGCTGAGGGCATGAAGGTGCTGAATGAGTGGATGGGCAGCTTAGCTGTTATATCACCCGAGAACAGACTGACCCTGGACAACAATCCAGTGCACAGACCCCCAAGACTTTGAAAGAGCAACTGAGTCAGGGACTTAGCGCCGTAAGAGGTCACCACAGGCATTTTCTTGGTCCTGGATTGCAGCTGTCTTTCCATCTCCTCCCCATCCTCCTGTCTCCTCTGGCTCTGCCCAGGTCCCTCCTGTTTCACTATCCTGCTCAGTGAAGAACCTAGCCTGGCTCGTGACTGGAGAAGACTGGCCAGAGCGAGACACTGGGAACTGGCAGTTGAGCAAGCTGGATTGGAGCTAGAGCCGCGAAGGAGTTAGAACCACACAGGGTGGGGATAGGAGAGCCGTATAAGCAGGGTGATTTCCTCTTGCCCAGGCCTTAGCACATGCAGTTCCTTCTGTCCAGAACATTTTGTCCATCTTCCTTTGGCTCAGCAGCTCTCCATTCTTCAGGTCTGTTCAGCTCACACCTTCCAGGAACGCTTGCTCACTCTCCCTGCCCAGGCTAATGCCTCAGCTATGTGCTGGGACATCTGGTTTGTAATTGCCAGTTGGTGTGACTGTTCCTCCCAGCTGGTGAGAGCTCTGTGTGGCGGGCATTGTCTCACTGATCTTTGTATCCCAGTACCTAGGCCCATGCTAGACTTCCAATTCATAAATATTAACTGAATGGATGGGGGATAGGATGGCCAGATAGATGGGTAGGTGGATAAATAGGTGATGAGTAGTGGGGAGGAAAAGAGAAAGATGGTAGGGAGGGAAGGAAGCAGGAGTGAAGGTGGTATGGAAGAAGGAAGGAAGGAAGGAAGGAAGGAAGGAAGGAAGGAAGGAAGGAAGGAAGGAAGGAAGGAAGGAAGGAAGGAAGGAAGGAAGGAAGGTGGGAAGCACCAGCAAGATGGATGTGTGAGTTCTAGGAGATTCTCGAGGCAGGAGGCTGGTTGCTATGACTTTCTTTGCCTGTTTCCTTCTGTGAGGAACTTAACCAGTTCTGTGGGAGAAGGGGCAGGAGACCACTGGGCAGCTCCCTCCTACCCTCCCCCACTTCCGAGTATGATTTGTAATCTCACTCAGGCTATGTGACTCATGGTAAATCACCTGCCCTTTCTGGTCTTAACCATCCCATTTATAAAATCTGGGGCTCAGCATAGATATCTCTTCAAATCTAAAAGCCCCAATTTTGGTGCAATATTTAAAAATGCTTCATGGGTACCACAATAGAGTATACTTTGTATTTCACGCACACACGAAAAAATCAAATAGTGCTTAACTATGCAAATAAAAAAGGTTGATCATGTTGTGCTTTATATTATTAACTAGAGGCCCGGTGCATGAAATTCATGCGTGGGGTGAGGGGTGTCCCTCAGCCCAGACTGCACAGTCTCTTATCTGGGACCCCTCGAGGGATGCCAGACTGCCCTCTCACAATCCAGGACTGCTGGCTCCCAACCTTTCACCTGCCTGCCTGCCTGATTGCCCCTAACTGCTTCTGCCTGCCAGCCTGACCAACGCCTAACTGCTACCTTGCCAGCTCAATTGCCCCAACTACCATTCCCTGCAGGCCTGGTCCCCCCCTCCCCACCCCCGCAACTGTCCTCCCCTGCTGGCCATCTTGTGTCCACATGGGAGCAGCCATCTTGTGTGTTGGAGTGAGTCAATTTGCATATTACCCTTTTATTAGACAGGATAGTGCAGTTTCAAATATGCTCTTGAAAAAATATTTATACCCATCATCATGGGATATTGGATGGTCAGTCTGTAACATTTAGCCTTCTTGCTAAAAATGCTTCTACTCAGCAGCCACAGCTCTGTACCCTCAGACCTTCCCCATAGACCCTACAATGACAGAACAGGCAGGCTGAGGCTCCAGCAGCTAAAAATGAAGGATGTCTCCAACACCACTTGCTTAAGTCAAGGGGCTGTATTGTCTCTCCCCACCCTCAACTGTGACTTCTATGGTGGAGACTGTATCTTGGTCATCTCCCCATCCTGGACCATGCCCAAGGAATCTTGGTAGACAGTATTTCAAAGAATACCTCTTCTCAGAAATGGAGTAACTCTGGCCTTCACTTTCAGTAAGATAAGCATTCACTGAAAGTTTTCCTCTCCCACCCACTAGGGCTGGCCAGCTCTGACTCCAACCCTATCCTGGCACCCTGGGGCAACCGCCTGGCCAGTCTTGGGCACACACAGGATCTCCTGGTTGGAGCCTGCCATCTGGCCCTCGGCTGCAATGTATGGGTCTGGACAAATGAGTGTGGCCCAAAGAGATGCCATTTTACTAGCATGTCAACCAACAGAGCTGTAAGCTGAATTGCAGCTCAACTTCTCTAAAAGCTCAAGGGACATGCTCTCTCCAGCTGAATGACTGAGTGCAGCCCAGCTGTCCTTCTAGACTTAGAATGATCAGTCCCTTTAAAAAAATTTTTGTTCTTGTGTGAAATAACAGCAGCCAATTGTTTGTGCTGATGTATGACTTTGAGAGAGAAAGCAGTTCTGGGAGACTTTGCCAATGGGGGCAGGAAATCCAAGAGCCTGGAAACTACTCCAGCCCTGACCCCCTCTCTGGTTCACTGACCACACTCCTTCCTGCCCCTTCTGCAAGTCCCTCCAAAGCCTTCAAAGCACACCTTGGTGACTGAGGGATTGAAGGTTCCTCCTCCTCCCTCCCAAAACATCTAAATTTGTTTAGCTTTAAAAAAATGATCTAGGTTTTCAGGGTCTAGATGTTCATGGACACTGCAATTTCAATTGCAGTTCATATTTTTTCCAGTTTTGCACTGGCAGCTATAGAAAACTTTGGTGTAACCTACTATAGCCTTCCCCTCAGGTAGCTTTGTCCTGCCCACCTACCTGCAGGAAATCCCTGCTCCCACCCCATTCCCTGGGGCTTACACTGGGGGCGCGGGGATGTATGTTGAAAGCACCCTCTTCCACCATCCTGCACAGTCAGCATGGGAACTTTGAAATAAGAGCTCATGTTTACAATTACAAAGGCAATCACCCAGGATTCAAACTTGAGGGTGACAGTGGCCCAGTTTTCTTCTGACAAACTGTGTGTAGAGAGAGGTTGGGGGGCAATTAAAACGCAACAATAAAGCCAACCTTTAAATAGTAACTTTTAAAAATATAAAAACAGCTCATTACAATTACTTTTCATTTTCTTCTTTCTTCAGGAATCAACTTCTACCCTCACCCTCCCTTGTGGCTACAGCCTTAACAACAGTGGCAGATGAACAGCTGAGACAGAGACAGAGAGAGACAGAGACAGAGACACAGGGAGAGACAGATTCTAGCCAACACTCCCCAACCTCAGAAAGGTAATGGGTGCCTGGCCAGCCTCCATGGCCTCCTCATCACGTCACAGGAGCTGCTGGCCTAGGAGCAAGATCACTGAATACAGGCAGTTTTCACCAGAGCTCCTCCTTCCTTCCCACCAGACAGAATTACACATTATAAAATAAGTCATAAAAATGCAGTATAAAAATTATCTTCCATACACTTACATCCATGGAGAGCCCACCACCAGGACTCAAAGGGCCTTTAGCTTTTCCTTAAAAGAAGGAAAAAAGAAAAAAACAGCCAAACTCCTTGGAACATTTTGGTAACAAAAAGTGGGTACTTGCAAGAGACAATATTCTACTTGTAACCTGTTTGGGCTCAAGAGACTGAAAGCTGCAAAAGTCACCAGGGTGCCAGGACATCGGTGCCCCCACCCACCTCCTAGTGTCCTCAGCGCCTGCAGCCCTGCCAGACTCAATCCCGCAGATTAAATACACTTTCCCTTGGGGGTGGAGGAGGGACGGGTCACAGGCAGGAAAGGGGAGAAGGCATTTTATAAAAGGACGTCACTTCTAACTCTTTATTCAAATTAAAAAAAAAAAAAAAAAGCACCCACATCAGTTGCTGTTTTTCTCTGGTAGCTCCCTGAGCTGAGTTGCTATGCTTTCCTCTAACTTTCTGTCCTTTTTAGGTTTTGTCTGCAGATTAAGAAGGGCTGAAGAGGGAGTTCCTCTGAACTCCATTTCCCAACATGACCACCTGTGCACCAAAGAGATGGAGGCAGGGACAGTGAGTGAGCTAGTCAGAGCCCTGAGAGAGGGTGACAGGAGCCAGGCAGCAAGGGCGGCCACAGAAAAATCTGACAGGCGCTGTGCCCTCAGTTCTGGCCGGGCTCACCTCAGGCACTGACTGTCCTCTGTCTGGCGTGGTCTTGACCCTCCTGGGACCATCCCAGGGCCACCTGGAGGCACCCTCATTCCAAGGGACCCGACTGGTCAGTCTGGTTACCAGCTGCAGTTCCCTTTCTCCACCCCAGGATTTCTCTCCCATTTCTCCCCCTCACTGATGCCCCTCCCAGGAGGGAACTGGAAACTTCTGTTAAAAAGAGAACACAAAACACCACCACCATGAGTGGATTACAAATACAGCAGGCGAAATACACGGCTAGCATTTCTGGTGAGAAGGAGCCTCCTTCCCCACTGACCAGTCTGAGATAGGAGTCCGTTATTTACATTTTTCACAAATCTTGTGCGCTGCACAAGCGAGAAAATAAGATCCCCATCCCTGGCACAGGTATGTGGTCCACTCCAGTGTCCCCAACCCAGGTCAGGGGACGGGTCAAAAGAAAGGGTAAGGAAAGATAGAGATTCACGAGGGTGTCTTTGGGGAGCTGGAGCCATGAGCCTCCACATACATCTATTAGTAGCATCTGCCAGCACGGTGATGGGGAAGAGGAGAGAAATCCATCGGAGTCTGTGGGACACGTCACCTCGGCCCGGAGCCGCACAGTGCCGGCAACCGCCCAGCCTGCCACCGCGCAGCGGAACGCTCGGCTGCTCCGGCCTCGCCTTCCTGGGGGGCCCGCACCAGGATCTCCCTGTCACAGTCGAGTCTGTTTCTCCCAGAGTTTGACAGCCCTGTTAGAGTTCTTGCTTAGTAGATGACCTCATAAACCGTGGCCTTCTTGTCACCAGAGCCTGTTACAATATATTTGTCATCCGCTGAAATGTCACAACTCAAGACAGACGAGGATTCCTTAGACTGGAGGAGGAGAGGCAGGAAGGTGCAGGACGAAAAAAAAGACAGGAGTCACTTTAGCTTCGCACACTTCAGTGCTCCAAATTAAATCGCCCTCCCCAGCCCGGCGCTCCCACTGCAGTGCACACAGCACGCCCTCACAGGCAGCCCAGGGGGTGGCTCCAGGCAGAGATGCCCTTCCATGGGCTTGCAGCCACTGCAGTACCCACAGGGATCTTAGGTGTCGGGCCCCAAATCTTGAAGAATCATAAAAGGCCTCCTCCCTCTCCCACCTCTTTTTGGACCCTTTTCCTCCTGCCCCACCACTCTCCTTACATTGAAATGTTGAGATGAAATTGGATCTTACTTGAATATCAGGTAACGCTGCTCTGAAAAAAGCTGCCCTGTGTGCTCCACTACCTCACACACCTCCTGAGTGCTCAGTGCCCAGGCCAGAGCCAAGACCATGTTTTCTCTCTCCTTGACTCTGGAAATCCTACAAGAGCCCCTGCCTAAAAGCCCTCACCTGAGGGGCCAGATGCCATTAGCAGCTGAGAGAGTTTTGCTGATGTGGCCAAGTCCTTGCTTCTGGAGACCCATTTGGGACACCATCAGGGAGGGGCTGGGAGATGGTCCTGCTTTGGCTCCCACCATCCTCACCCCCATCACCACAGTCTGGCTCTGACTCTGGGCAGAACCAAGAGGGGCATTTGGATGGCAGGTGGTACCTGGAATATGCTGGCTCCATACGGTGTCCTCCAGGCGTTAAGAAGGTTATCTTTCCCAGTGCTTACAAACCACTTGCCTGCAGGTGAGAGAAAAAGACCATCAGGTTGTGTGTGACCTGCTGCCCTCTAAAGTAAGACCTGCCCCCACATGCTGTGGCTGCCATGGAAACATTGTGTGAACCACTAACCAGTGCTTAGCCTACTTTCTGCTTTCAAGGGACAGATACATAACAGATACATGGACTCCCAGAGAATGCCTTTCTTTGCAATCAAGGTGGAGGGGTGGGCAAGGGTGATGAGAAAAGGTAGAGTTTGCACAAAATGGGAGCAATGGCTGTCCCCCAAAAACATTTTTTTTAAGCTACCAAGATAGACTGATCCTTCTCATTTCTACTGGAAGATAGCAGGCAGTGTTGGAAAATGGCAAAGCCCTGAGTCTGCAGACCCAGCTGGGACAGAGGTCAGCAGGTGCCCTTACTCTGCCAGGGTACTGCCAGCATGAACACACTGTGCCCCCAAAGCCATGTGGTGGGCACCACGCCAATCCCAGGCCAGAGTAAGATGTATCTGAATCAGAGAGGATGAGATGTGTCCCAAGCTGCACAGCCAGTCAGCGGAGAAGCAGACATTCCAATCCAGGGCTCAGAGCCATCCGAGGCTGTAGTCTTCACCACCTTCAAGAACTGCCTAGAGGAACTGCCCACAGCCTGGGAGCACTGTCCTATTGCCCCAGGCCAGCAGCAACTGGTTCGGGCCTGGCGTCCAGAGAGCTCACTACCCTGTGGCAGTGTCTTCATCTGAGGGACAAGGATGGGGAGACACTGGTTGGGGTCAGGAGGCCTGATTCCCATCAGGGCTCTGTTCCTAAGCTTTGGGCCCCTCATCTCTACACAGAGGACAGGCTAAGCTGCCAGGACCCCACTCCCCAGGGCTCACCGCAGTAGGCAAACTTGAGGGAGAGCACGCAACTCTCGTGCAGGTGCAGCTGGTACTTGTCCGGCTTGGTGTGGTGCAACACCTCCACATTGCTGCTCTCCATGCCCACGGCCAGCCATTCCCCAGTGGGGCAATAACCCAGCGAGAAGATCTGCAGGGGAGGGACCAGATGAGCTCAGCCTCACTACCCTCCAGATCCCACTGCTTGTTCCCCATCACCTCTCCATCTGCCCTTGGCAAAACCAAGCCTTCCTCTCTCCCTCAGCCCAATAGGTATGGGATGTAATTTTTCATCCCCATTTTATAGGTGAGGAGGTTGAGTCTTAGAGAGGTTTCTGACTCCAGATAGTAAGTGGGAGAGCTAGGATTCAAACTCAGAGGTGGTACAGATCTTTTGCTTTCAAAAAGTTACTCTCCATGACTTCTGCCTTTCCTTAAGAAAAAAGTGAGCAAATAAAACACTAAAATATTAAATATGTATGGCTAAAAATATTAGAATGAGTAATAAAAAAATAACAAAAAATCATAATACCTAGTATCTACAGAATGCTTCCTATGAGCCAGGCTAATGGCTAAGGCTTTTAGAGGGACCATTCCAGATACTCATACTAGATCTAGGAGGTAGCTACTATTATTCTCATCCTAGAAATGAGAAAACTGAGGCAGGTATATTACACAGGAGCCTCCTAGGTGGACACGGTGTCTCTTCAATGTGCATTCTTAGTCCCTCTCCTTACCCCACACGCCTGATGAGGGGCTGAGTGCTCAACAGTAGAGGAGCTGGGAATCAAATCTAAGCAGTTTGGTCAAGTGTGGGCATTGCAAGGCCTTGCCAATTCTATTTCATAACTGCTTCCTCTGGGAAGCCATCTCAGATGACTCAGATGAGTCATTTGCAATGGCCACCTGTAAGGGCCCCATCATCCCCTGACCGGGCCCACTGGGCGGGAATAAGCTGCTCTCCAGGAGGGGAGGGGAGGGGAGGGGAGTGGGTTGCTCACCTGAGAGGTGAAGTCATGCTGCTGCAGCTGCCGGCCCTCCCGCAGGTCCCAGGAGCGCACAGTGTTGTCCAGCCCCCCAGTCCACAGTTTGGTGCCATCGTGGGAAATGTCTATGCAGCTGGCCCCATCTGTGTGGCCCTGGAACTGCCTATGAAGGCCAAGCAGGGAGGAGGAGTGAACCCGGGGAACCACTGAATACCAGCTGGCAGCCTCTGAGCAGAAGAGGAAACTGAGGCCTAGGAAGGGGTATACCATGTGCCCATGGTCTCTTATAGTAGAGCTAGGCCCCTCCCCCACTCCACTCAAGGGTCATGTCCAGGGGCAGGTATATAACACAGGAACCTCCCTAGGTGGACACACTGTGTCTCCTCAATGTGCATTCTTAATCCCTCTCCATACCCCACACGCATAACAAGGGACTGAGGTCAGACGCAAGCCGTATGGTAATGTGACAAACAAGGATGGCCAAAGTGTCCTGAGAGCCGGCTCTGAGCCAGCTCCAAGCAAGGTACTGAGACACAGGGCTAGGCGACTTGCACAAGGTCCCTCCCTCAGCCGCACCTGACGAGCGTCTGGTTGTGCAGGTCCCACACAGCAATGTTCCCATCACTGCAGCAGGAAAAGCAGACTTTGGCATCAGGGCTGATGGCCAGGGCATAGCAGGCAGGGGCGGAGGACGTCAGCTCGGCCTTGATGCGAGGTGTGGGTGAGGCCAGGTCCCAGATGGTGAGCGTGCTGGCCTCGCCGCCCACGATGAGCGTGCGCCCATCGGGGAGCAGCTTGCAGGAGCGGATGTAGTTGTCCCTGTTCTGGAGGAAGCAAGGGCAGGATCAGTACTGCCCACCTCCCTTCCCAGGGACCAGAAGTCACAGCCAGCACCTCCAGGCACTCCTGCCACCCCTGCTCACATCCCGCCCTTGTTCCTGGCAGTTGCCAGGCCATCTGCACTGCTCATTCACAACCCTTTAATCTTGCACGCATTTTTTTACACACCCAGGTCAGTATCATCTCTACCTAGACAGTAAAACCATGGGCCAGGGAAGCTAACCAGCTTGCCCAAAGTCACCCAGCCAATACAGGGCTCAGCCAGGTCAGCAAAGCTACCTCGCTGGCCCAGGCTACCCTGTTCTCCCATGCCAGTTAGAGATGCCCACAGCCCAGAATCCTCACCAGGCAGTCCAGCTGGGAGATGGGGCTCTTGCTGCCTGGTTGGCTGATGTCCCAGATCTTCACACAACCCTTGCCACCTGTGTAGACGTGCCGCGTGGGGTTGCTGATGGTCACGGCACATACCACCTCCCCATGGCTGAGTGTGTTGATCTGCCGGGCGTGCCTGGGGATGCCGGGGCCTGCCAGGGCATCGTGGGGAAAGGGCACAGGCTGCATCTGCCCATCAGCACTCACATGGAAAGAGTAGGCTCTGAAAGGGCAAGAACTGTCACTTCTGCTGTCCCCAGTCCTCTCCCAGTCTCCCCAGGCCCTGCCAGTCCACTGGAACCACCCCAACTGGCCTCACTGCCTCCAGATGGCCCCCAAATCTTAGGAAACCAGGTAACTCCAACCTTCTTGTCCAGGCTCCACCAGGGTGAGAACTGCTTAATATTCCAGCCTTGACTCTGCGCCTGCTTACACATCCTTGCTCCAAACCAGTTCACTAGCCCTGCCTGTGTCTTGGAATGGCCTCTTCTACCATCTGTGACATCCCTGACACACCGCCCGCCCCTAAAAATCCCCAGCAGAATGCCAACCCCTCCTTCAGGAGCCAGTGGTATCAGGGGAGGGGGATCTGTTTACATCCTCAAATAAATCGGAGTATACATCAGAGCCAGTGTGTGAGCCAGTTGAAGGCTGCCTGCTGTTTCATGCTACAGGGGATGCCAGCTGGGGGGTTTCAAACAAGTAGAACCCAAAGGAGCCCCAGGCCAACCGTGTCCTTTGATTAGAAGGCCCTGATGTTTGCACATCCCTGCTCTCCCAGATCCCAGTGAGCATACCTGGAACCCCTCAGTTCCTCTTGTAGAGGGAGCCCTGAGCTGACCAGGAGTATGAAGACAGGCTGCTAATTCCCGGGGTTGTAGCCTGGCCTAGAAGAACCTCTAAAGGGCAGGCTAAAACCTTCTCAAGGGAGGTTCACCCAGGGCAGCAGTGCTCTCCCCTGCCCTTCCCAGAAGCATGCAGTAAGTGCAGCCAGAGCTTACGGTTTTCCACCAGGAATGGAGGCGAGGCTTGAGGGCAGGCCTGTAGCCCGCATGGGGGGGTGAGGATCAAAACCAACCTGTAAAGCAAAACAAGGCCAGCCCTTAGTGAGTTATACACCATTTATCCCCCACCCTGGCCTCCTCCTCCTCTGCTTCCTGCCTGCACATCACTGCGTCTTCTGAACCCGGGAGAGACAAGTAGAGCCCAGGAGGGCCAGCACCTCACCCAGGACAATGGTGGGGAAGGGATGACAGTCCAGACCTCCCAGCGCTGACCCAGCATCCTCCCCATCCCCTTGCCCCCTCAACCTCTCTAAGCAGTTGCCTCTGCCCCACTTCAGCCCCCCACAGTGTCCCAGTGGGCTCTCACATACAGAGGAGGCCCCGCAGGTATATGAGGTAAAGACAGAAACTGTCTCCTGAAAAAAGACCCCACTCTCTACCAACCCATCGGCGGATGGCCAATCCAAACTGCTCATTAACACGAACAGACAATCTCTGGTGTCATATGCAGCCCCATTTGCCAACCCCCTGCTCCCTGCAAGCTATCTGACTCATCTTGGGATCCCATCCCATGGAGCCCAGAATGACAGGGATCAGCCCCATTTCTCAGCTGAAAGGGCAGGCAGGGAGGCTGCATCAAGTGAGGGAACATGGCAGCTGGTGGGCAAGCAGGGGTGGATCTGCAGCTGCTGATCCCCAAAGGCGTGGTTTTCTTCTTTCTAATGAGCACTGTACCCCAAAGGCAGCTAGCTGTCTGGTTGAGAGACCCTTCTAGTATGAGGAAGTGCCCCCCTAATCCTCACCAACTCCCTACTCCTTGCTAGTCCCCAAAAAAGGAGCCAAAAATTCTACGTACAGCTCCAAAGCTCACCATTGGCGATCGGCCATAGGCGGCAGCGGCGGCGGCGGCAGCCGCACTCATCTGGGGCGGGATGTTGTGGAGGCTGGCGTAGGCACTGGGGCTAGTGAGGGAGCCATTCATCTCGTGGTGGCTCATCATGGCAAAGGGCGCTGCGTAGGAGCTGGTGATGGAGATGGGCGTGCGCAGGGCTGAAGCTGCAAGGAGGCAGGCATCAATGGGAAGGCGTCCCAGGAGGGGGCCCGATCCAGCAGAGATCCTGCCAGCACCCTAGAGCCGCCGGCCTGACAGTCCTCTCAGAGGAGCCCACCTCACTGGCTCCCACCTGCATAGCTTAAGAAGATTCAAGCAGAGAGATGTCCCACCCTTTTCTATAGAGCAGGTCACGAAGGCCAAGAAGGCCTTCAGAGCCTCACAGAGGAGAGGCAGAAGCAAACCATGGTGCCCCAGCCTGTCTGAAGCCCCCTGCCTAGTGGCCCCAGGAAGCCCCACATCAGTGTTGAAGCACCGGTCTGTCTCCTGAAACCTGACCAGGAAGCCCCCCAAAGGCAGGCCCCGGAGAACCTCAGCTCAGACACACTTTCTGGTGCTCGGCCTGTCTATGAGCTCCAGCCCTGGCCTGGCAGACCCTCCCCTCAACCACAGGCATCCCAGCCCTGTTGTGCCTACCCATTATACCTATCGGGTCCATGCCCGGAGGTTTGCCTGGCATCGACCGGAGCCCTGGAGTCGTGCTAGTGCCTGGAGTTGGGGCATCGTTCCTCGGGGTGGGTGTGTTGGACTTGAGCCCAGGAGTGGAGGATTTGTCATTCTAAAAAGGGAAGATGCAGAGACCCAGAGAAACCATGAAGCTCTTTACATTCTGATCCCCAAAGGCATTCTTCTTGCTAATGAGCACTGTACCCAAAGGCAGCTGTCTGTCTGGTCATGAGACCCTTCTGGAATCCAGGAAGTGCCCCCCTAATCCTCACCAGCTCTCACTCGGAGCCACAGTGCCGAATGCTGGTCACCACATGAAGCATGGGGACAGCCCCCACCCCAGTTTTGAATCTTCTGCCCAACAGCCACTCATTCTTGCCCAACCTTGCTCAGCAGAGGCCATGGTGACTTGCCCAGTTGGTAGATGCAGCAACCAAGGTTTAGGAACGTTAAGTAGCTAGCACAGGTCAAGTAGTAAAACCGGCATTTGAACCTGGGCCAAAGCCCAACCTGTTAGTTTTACTCCATCCCTCTGCCCTCCTGTCAGCATCACTCCAGCTCCAGTCTCTTTTCCAGATGTCTCCCCTCCCCCCCGACCCTGCGCAGCACCAAGGGCAGACCCCACATACATGGCCAAGGTCTTTGGTCTTGGAGGAAGGTGTGCTGCTGGAGGAGGCCACCGAGGCGGGGCTGGTGGGGGCATCCTTTTTCAGGCCACGGGCTTTGTCCAGCCCATTTTCAGGAGGGGAGTGTGCTGGGCTGACCCGGGGTGTTGCTGGGTCCTAAAAACACAAGAGATTCAGAAATGTACTCAGAGCGACAACCAGCCTCGACTCCTTCCTGCTGTGGGGTGGAAGGGAGAGGGCATGGGTGATAGGAAAAGGAGCATGGCTGAGAAACTGGGGACCCCAAGGTGGGGGTAAATAGTTCTTAATTATCTAGTCTGACCCCTTTGACTCCCAGATGGGGTGACGGGGGTCTGAAGGGTGGGGTGACCTGCCAAAATCACACACAGTTCAGGACTCAGATCTGGGCAGCTGGGTTTTTGGGCTTGGGTGGATCTGCTCCAGCTCCTCCTTCCGGCTGAGGTTGACCCAGTAATCACAACCCCACCTCCAAACCCCAGGGTGGTGGGCAGAACACAGCTGACCTGGAGGACATGAGGAACTGGCCCTGGCCCTAATCTGGGGTCTCTGGGGGTTTCTGCGAGGACCTGTCCTAGGAAATCCACAGTGCCCTGCTCTGCTCCTCCCACCAGCCTGATGCCCCAACTTCAGAGGCCTCCTCATGCTCCACAGGCTGCCAGTCTGTTAGCACAGCAGCTGGGACCCAGAGCACCCACCAGGCAGGAACACTCTCACACCCCAAGCCGACAGCTGCCCTGCAGTCTGGGCCTGCCCTTACCTCATTGGAAACATCCACCACTAGATCATCACTCTTGTCCCCATCACTGTCCTGCAACCAAGACAGAGCCAGTAAGAGGCCACGCCCTCCCCACCCCACACTGAGCACGCACCATTCCCACCCTGCTTCTACCAGCCGAATCTGAACCCAGGCCAACCTGAAATTCACCAAAGGCGGCCCTCCTTCTCACGGTGTCCTAGCCGGGCCCCCAGCCCTGGGTCACTCTGCTCGCACACCCACTGGCAACCACACCGATAGCTGGCCCATTATATTTCTAAGCCCCTTGACACTACTTTCCAGTGGGTTTATATCTGCCATCATTCACAAGGAAGTGAACTGGTCTCACTTCACTATTTCCACATTCTGTGCGGGAGGGACAAGGAGCCACAGCGCCCAGAAATGCAGCTGAGGCTTCGGCTATGCAACGTGTCCAAAGCCACAGAGCAGCCAGGAGGCTGAAAAAGGCTTGGCGCAAGACCACTAGGTCCCAGCATAGCATCGTCCTTCTCTCTGTGCCAGCTCTCACCCCTACACACTGCACAGTCTGCATAGCAGATACCACAACCAGGCTGTAGGGTCAATCTGTGGGGCAACACAAATGTGCACACCAGGAGGGCCACGATGGCAGCCAGGGTTGTTGGCCTGTCCCTGAGAGATGCTCTCAGTTCTCCCCAGACCCCGCCACCCTCCGCCCACCTTCCCCAAGCCACCACCTATCCTTGTGGGACCCTCTCCTGCCCCTGGCCCCACTTAGGTCTTTCTGACTCACCCACGACAGGTCCTGTGGGTTCTCCCACACCCAGGCCTGCCCACCACAAAGCCCAGCAGTGCCCACCACACCCTCAGACATACGTATCGGCTCAGGCTGTCCTTTTCCTCAGCCTTCCGCTTCTTGGCTTCCATACTGTAGTCTGCAGAGCCCCGGTGCTTCTCACTGGCCCGCAGGCTTTCCGAGGGTGACACCGAGTTGTTCTGGAAGCAAGAAGGTAGTTCAGTGTGATCATTTCACGCACAGAGTCAGAGCTGAGTGCACTAAGTCAGGGCAGTGAGAGTATCCTTCGTGTCCTGCAGGTCCCAGCGGCATCAGCCCTTCAGCAGGAAAGCCTTCCTGACTCCACAGACTAGGTCCCCCTGAGAGGCTCTGGGAGCATCACAGTTTGCTTTTGTTGCAGAGCCGCTGCTACTGAGTAATTAACCTGGCAATGAGCCGTATGCCCTCTGGCCTATGACACTGCACGCTCCTTCAGGGTGGCAGTCCCACCTGCCTCCTTCACCCCATCTCATGCCTGTCACACGTATTTGTTCCAAGAAGGAATAAAGACAATTTGCACCGAATCTTGAAAGATGGATCTGAGCCGACAAACTGGAACCATGTGCAAATCTTCATCTGCTGACCCGACAGGAATGACTGCTGCCAACATGCTTTCTAAGTGGAGGTGCAGCTTTAGAGAAATGCCAGGATAACAAAGAAACAGAAATGCAGCATTGTCTTCCCTCTGAAAGATGGGAAAAGAGCACAAGGAAGGCAGCAGTCCTCCCTGTTCCTGACACAACGGGAAAGAAGTGGGGAACGTGCCCAAGGCCCGATGACAGGAGGCAACGTGAAGAAGGCCAAGTTCCTCCAGCCTGGACCTAATGCATTCTCCCTTCAATAATGAAGCAAGCAGGGACAAGACCACTTTGGAACTCGAGGCCTGGGGATAGCAAAGATGAGCCTACAGCTGAGGCAGTGGCACCTTGCAGGTGCCTGGAAACAATGTCGTCCTGAAAGTGAGAGCGCCACCCGCAGAGGAGGAGTTGTGGGCCCCCGTGGTGTTGGCAGCAGGAACAGCACCATGTGGCTGTCAGCACCAGGCTGGGACATGGGGAGGGGTGCCTGGTGGCAAACCTCTGTGCCCAGAGAATAAAGTCAGAACCAGTGGCCCCCTTGTGGGGGTGGTTGTGTTTACCCTGGTCTAAGAGCCAAATCCCTAACCTTCCCTCACTTCCTCATTGCCCACCCCTGTTCTGAGTACCCACCATGCAAGGGATAGGGAGGTGCCCAGGACGGAGGAAGAAGCTGCCTTTCGGGAGCTTCCAGTCCAACTAGAGAGAAGGGAAAGGCCAAGCCATCAACATCGCCATGCAGTACAGAGATGTGTGACGAGGACATGTGGGGATGCAGCGGGGCATCTGCACACAGAGGGCATCAAAGGGCAGGTGGGAGAGCCCACACCTCCATTTTCCAACTTTCCTGGGGGTTAGTGCTGGCGTTTGGGGGAACAGTGTGGAAACCAGCTGCAAACTTAATTTCCTTTGCTAAGCCAGTTTCTGGGCATCCCTTCCCTGCCAAGTTTCTGCCTGAAGCAAATTAAAATGGCATTTATCAAGTCTAGAAGAAAAAAATGGAAGTTATAATGGAACTGCAGTTCAATCTTCCCCACAGCCCTGCGAGTGACGTCGATGTGCGTACAGCCGCAATTCAATTAGCTGCTGCAAGCTTGGCAGAAAAATCACCATCATTTCACTTCCCTTCCTCCAACTGTGGCAGCCCCATGCTAAGCAGAAATGCTTCCAGGCCCTGTCCTCGCTGGCGGGCAGGGAGGAGGGGGCATGTGGCAGCTCATGTTTCTCTTTGCGCCCCAGAGCGCAGCTCAGAGCACAGCGAGCTCTTTCTTCTCATGCAGTCAGGCTGAAAACCCTGCTGCTACCGGAGAGTCATGTCAGGCATTTAGCGGCATCGATCCAGCCCGCCTCTGGCTGGCAGGCGGCCAAAAAACTAAGTATTTTTTATTGCTTCGGCTAGGCAAGGAAATATGAATGAAGCTACCTCTAATTGGACTCTAGACTAACCCCTCTGGGACAGCTTCCAGCCCGTCCAGCCATCCCCTCCCACCCCGACACAGCCTTGTCCTTCCGGCCGTGGGCCACATCTGTTGACAACCTGGTTTCCAAAGGGCTGATTGCTTCAGTCTACACCCCCTCCGACACCATCCCCACAAGCACAGCCCTGCTGCCTCTCCCAAGCTGCCCATCCCACCCCCAGATGGCATCTTGACTCATTCCCACTGGACTCTCCAGGGGCCTGAGCCTGCCTCCCTGCTCTGTAAATCTGATGCGCATGGATATGGGAGAGTGACATGGAGTGAAGAGCTTAGCTCGTGAGGGTTCCCTGGGGGTTTCTTGTAGCAGATAGCTTTCATAAACTGGGGCACAAAGCCAAGAGCAAATAGCAATGAGGATGAGGGCGATGCGAAGACAGGGAGGGTTTTGGGCTTCAATGACCTGTTTTGTTCTGCAACAGGTCCATTAGCAGGTCAGGTCAGGGGCCTGGGTTCTGTTCTGAGCGGTGGGGTCTTCCTAACCAAGCTGAGAGGCTGGCTGGGCAGGAAGATGCCCATGTTAGAGATAAAGAAACAGAGTCGGGGAGAGGCCAAGAAAGTCATCCAGTGTCCCATGTAGCAAGACCAGATCTAAGCCTGAAGGGATCCAGTCTCAGCCTTCTTCTATGGAGGCAAGCCACCTCTCCCAAACGCCACCTTCTGAGAACCAACACCAAAGCCAACAAAATGCATTTTCAACTTTAGTTATTCCTTTCTTATGTACAGAACCCCTCCATGGCCCCCACGTGGATCTGGATTTCTGAGCACGTGGGCCAGTCCAAAGGGGACACAAGTACTGCTGCTCAGAGGGCTCACACTCAGCCTGGGCAGTGGCTGCGAAGGGGTGGTTAGTTAACTGCCTGACCTTCCAAGTCCTACTTAACACAAAGTAATGACCAAAGCCATCCCTGTAGATTAGATGGCCCAGATACAAGGACAGCGATGAGGAACAAAATGCCTGTGCTAATCGCCGGAGGATTTTTTTATCCAGACTCCACTGTGCTTATTCAGAAGGCTTATTCACTTGAAACAGAACCTCTGAGCCTCAGTGTGATCAGAAAGATTTACAACAAATCTCAGAGCTGGCAGGTGCGCAGGCAGCCTGGCCTTCATGCTCACTTCCTAGCACTTCCTTAAACCCAGAACAGAGAGAAACATCAGAAAACGAGGAGGCAGGATCATTTGGGGGCAGCCACCCAGGGCGTGGGGAAGCTCCCCACCCAGGACATGGGATACGTAGGTCCTAAGCCCTGGTTCAGCCCAGACTCCACAGACCCCCTGGGAGGCCCCAGGGCCGGCCAGCAGACCTCTCTGATCAACCACTTCTCCTGTAAAGAGAGTTAGAGCTCCTTTAGACATAGCTCTTTATTTGACAAATGATGGACCAAAAGCCTGGAGATGAAGGCTTCCCCAGCTGAAGGTCACTCTCAACAGACAACTCCCATTTCCTGACAATACTCTCACCCCCACCAGAAAAGCACCTGGTGCCCTCCTCCCACACCCAAATACACCCAATTGGCTCGAGTGCTGATACTTACCGCACTGGATTCTCTCTCTTTGGGGACCGAAGGCCAGGACAGGAGGAGGGTCAGGGCCCCAAAACAAAAAAGAAAGAAAAAAAGTCAGTCCCAACATTTCCAAGCAAGCAGCAGGCCTGGCCGTACTGTGGGTCAGCCAAGGCAGGGCTTTAGGGACGTTTCTTAATTTGGAAATTAATTGCCCCGATTCTAACACTTCCCCCCGCCCCTGGGTGTGGCGGCCTTCGTGACCCGGCTCTCCCAGACATGCCAAGGAGGACACCATCACTACTAGTCAGCAATTTTTAAGCCATAAGCTTGGGAAAGATCATGCTATGGAAACTATCCATAGGACCTGGCATTGAAAACATTTTTTTTTAAATTGTGAGAATGGTGGTGGTGTTTAATTAACACCATTCTCCGTCTCTTTGCCAGAAGCTCCTGAAAGCGGAAGCCTCTGATTATTGAATCAGTCGGGCACTAGCCCCCTAACTGGCCTGCCTGCTGTGGGAAGGCTCTCTTCCTCTGCAGAGTACCATCCTACTGCAGGGCAGGGATGTAAGCCTCTGGCTCCCACCGCCTGGTGCCACATGGGGCCCCAGCCGGGGCACGATGACGACACTCCAGGCCCCTAGCGCCCAAGAATGTGGTGCCCAAGGGCTCAGAAGGTGCAGCCGTGTGCCTTGGCAAATCTCTAAGAGCAAATGAAATCATCCCGCTGAATATTTTTGAATTTACACGATGTTATATGTCAATTATATCTCGAAAAACCACCTAAGGGCAGAGCACACAAGGTGGCAGGTTTTGAAAAGGGTCTTCCTGGAGGCTGGGCCCCTTCCTCTCCCGTTCAAACTGAGTCCTCCTGAGGCCTACTCCATGCAGCTTCCTGGATCCTGATGGTAAAGACCCAGGGAAGGGTGGGGGCAGGTCCTCATTGCAAGTCTTCCCAAGCACCTCCCTGCAGTAGTGTGGTAGCTACCTCTGCCTACAGTCAGTCAACTCACAAGTCTTTACGTGAGTGCTGACTGTGCGCTATTTGCAAGGCACCTGCGTGAGTGAGCCACATTAATTTCAATACCTTGCCCTCAGAGGACTGATACTCTCTGAAGATAAAATGCCTTCCAGGGGTAGGATACAAGTGGACAGTAACAAAGGCTCAGTTCTTGGGACTCTCCTTTTTAAACTCTTATGTGAATTTGAAAAAGAACCCAGCCTGAAGGCGTGGGACTGAGGCTGGCCCTTAAGGCTAGGCATGGTGTCAAGGATGATGGAAGGGGAGGGTACTCTAGGATGAATGGAGAAGGTGTCTTCCAAGGCAGAGAATTTAGTGAACATCGGGGATTGGGGGGACTGGCATGGGTGATGGGGCTCTTGTTCCCATCCACCAGGAATTTAAGCAACAGTTCCAAACCTTTTGCTAACTCCTGATTCTAGGGTGACAGCATTTGCTGTGTCCACTTACAGTGGGGTCTACCGGACCTCTGCCCCAGCCCAGCCCAACCCAGCCCTGCCCTCTGCCCCCAGCCCCAGATCTAGGCCGCACCTCTGTGATCCAGTTCATGGTGGTTCTTCTCGTCCTTCACTGTCATGTGGGCCTGGCTGCCCAGGGCTCCAAGTGCCAGTAGCCCTGAGCTGCTCCCTGTCACCGGGGGGATCCCTGGAGGCTGGAGGCCTGATGGGTGGGGTGGCAACTGGACCGGGGGGCCATGCGTGGCATGGGAGAGGTGCTGCGCCTGGAGCTGCTGTTGCTGCAATGAAGTTGGTGGTGAGCACAGCTGAGCAGATAAGGGCAGGGGAAGCCACAGGCTTCCTTCATGTGGCAGCAGGGGGAAAAGTCCCTCAAAACCTTTGTCCCCAGCTCAGTCCACATGCTGTATTGCTAAAGGAATCTGTTAATGGACTGCAATTTAGATACAATATTTATGTCTTCAAACACTCCACCTGCCCCCCACCCAATTCAGGATAGAACTTCCCCATGTTTAAAAGTCTAAGATAAATAAGGCATGCATTTAAAAACTAGTCATCAGGGATCCCTCTCAGTAGAGATCTATTTCTAAGCTCCTGGTAGTTCATGTTTGCTCACGCTTACATGCCTTCAACATTAGCAGCCAACATATCCCTCCCCCCCCCCCCCCCCCCCCCCGAGCCCCTATGGCAGGGAAGGCTCCCTAACACAGACACACTCCAGGCCTGCCTTTGAGCGAGGGCCGGCTCCAGCAGCCAAGTCCAAGATCAAGAGAAGGCGGTGGCCTATGAAATGAGAGCTAATGTCACTGGACATCAGAGTGAAGAAGAGGGTAATAAGAAGAGTGGAGTCTTCCCTAACTGGGCAACTCAGAGATTAGAGCAGTCCCAATATGCCAAGGTTGTGGGTTTGGTCCCCAGTTAGGACACATACAAGAATTAACCAAGGAATGCAAAAATAAGTGGAGCAATAAACCTATGTCTCTCTCTCTCAAATCAATAAACAACAAAGAAAACAATGGAATCTTTAGAAACAATGCAGGATGCAAACCCCAGCTCTGGCACTTATTACCGTGTGACCTCAGGTGTGTTACTCATTAAGTGATCTCAGAACAGTAGCTAACATTCACCAGAGGGCTTGCAATGTCTCCCCTCTGTTCTAAAACCTTGACCTGATTAACTCAGCATTATCAACAACAGCAACAATAACAGTCCCTAGCTAAGGAGTTTGGGTCCCTGCTCCAGACACCATACCCCTTCCCAGCCTAGCCTCGGGGTCCTCTCTTTCCCTCTCCCTCTCCAACACCCAAGGGGTTGGTTTAGGGCAGCCTTAGGTCTCTCCCAGCAGACAGGTCAAAATGCCCTTTACCTTAACATTCCTAAGCTGGGGCTTTGGATGTGCTGGTACCCCCTGTACATACATCTTTCTTCTCAAATAGCACAACAGGAGGGAACCAACATTAATGAGTGCCTGGGCATTTCCAAATATTATCTCTGACCCTTCCAATCACCTGGCAAAGGAGGGGTTGTGCCCATTTTTGCAGAAGAATAAATAACTAGAAAAGTCGCATCTCTAGTAAGTGGGATCTAGGCTCAAATCTATCAACCAGAAACCTCATCCAGAGAATATTACTAAGGAGGACCCCAAAGCAAGAAGAGTTCTTTGGGACTGTGGGGGGACAAAGAGCAAAAGTCTGATAAGCTTGCATGTTAACTGTGGCTTTGGGGCCACTGCTGACCCAAGGCAAACACAGTGAAGGCCCACAGTTCTGATTAAAGGTGAGGCTCCAAGAGGCAGTATTTGAGGTCAAAAGTTACCTACCCCGCTCTCCCACAGCTAAGCTGTAAACTGCCAACCTGGTCCACCCCAAAGTTAATGGCAACCACAGCTACTATCTCACTCCTGGCCCAGAGGGCTCATTTCTCATCCCTGGGAGAAAGGCTGGGACTTGCAGCTAAGACCTGGGATGTCTGTTGCTGGGCAGTTTACAGAAGCTGCTGTTGGGTACTGAGCCCAAGATGCTCAAGCAGGAAGTAAGTGCAAGTACCGAGGAGCTGGGGTTACGGAACCCAGTGCAGAGACCCAACCCAGCAGCTGAACTCAGCTTTCTGGGACTGGATGGTAGAGTTCCCCCACCTTTTCTTTGTAAAAAAAAATATATAATTTTTATATTACAAAAGTAATACATGCTCAATGTCAGAAAATATCACAAATAAGTAGAGATTTACATTTTTTTCTAAAAATCTTACCCTTCAATCCCATTCCCTAGAAAATCAACTGTTCATCTGTCTAGATTTTCCTTTATGGAAATCCATAAATTTCAAATGTGTTTCTATACAAATGGGCTCTTGTTAACTTTATTGCTATACAATTGAATTTTAATTTAGGGGTTACAAACAAATCAACATTTCCTTTTTAATGGCTGCATAGTATTCCCTGTGGTTGAACCATTTGACCTTTTTTTTTTTTTTTAACCTCAGCTGAGTATATTTTTTCCATTGAGAGACAAATTGATTAGTTGCCTCCCACATTCACCCTGACTGGGGGCCGGAGATTGAACCCTCAACCTTCCATCTGTAGGCTAACCACTAAGCAAAATTGGCCAGGGCTGGACCACTCAATTTTATCTAGATGCCCAGTTTTAAAATGAGTTTCTGCTGGGGGCCCTGTGGTTTTAGAACAGTTGCTGGTAGGCCCTCCAATACTACTAGGGTTTACTATTCAGTAAAATTCCAGAGAGCAAAAATGGAGGTATTTAACCTACTCCTTTCTGTGCATGGCCAATAAGATTGCTGGAGGGAGAAGGGAAAGAGGAAGGGAGAGTGGCTTCAAAGAAGTAGCTCTGCTGCCTGGGAACAAGGCTAACTCCTCCACTCGCAATTCTGTGTCTATAGAAAGAGCTTACTGAAGATTCGTACCCATGGAAACACCCTGATGAGGTAAGGTCTGCCCTTTGACCCAACCTTCTAGGCTCATCTTTCAAATGCCTTTTCCTCTAGAAGCTCCAGTCCTCCCGGTAAGCTTCTCCCTTCTAAGAGTTCTAGCAGCTCAGACTTGAAATCAGGCAGACTAAGGTGGACAGGCAGATCTCCTTCACTAGTTGAGACCTAGATGAGTCAGTGGACCTCTCTGACTCAATTTCCTCATCCGCAAAATGGGAATGCAACCCATTTCTTCAGATTATGCAAGGATCACATGCTTTACTACATGACAAGGCAAAGGAGGTGCTCAATTAACATTAGCAAAATCTATAACTGGACTGCAAATATAACTATTTCTTTCATCTTTATATGTGACTTCCTGTGGCTTCCAGAAAAACAGAGACCTTGTTTTATCCATCCCAGCACCTCAAATGTGGTGCCTGGCATGCTTGCCAGGAAAAGGTAAACATAGAGTAAGACAGCACAGTGGTTCTGTCCAAGAGTGACCATCCACTTCCCACATCCATGCCTCCTCTCCAAGGCCCACTTAGATGCAGCTCCAACTGTTATTTGGGACAAGAAGCATCAGTGTGGCTTCCTGCTTCCTTCCCTGTAACATGAACCAGTGAACCAGCATCAGAAACTTGAAAAGCAGAGGATTGCAAAACTGTTGCGCTTCCAAGATTGAGGGGTGGTTTTTGCCGTTAGCATGTCAAGCACAAGTGTCTCCTTTACAAAGGAGGAAAGGAAACTTCCATGGTGCCATTTACTCCTCATCTTCAAGTATGGGAGCACTGCCTACACATCCAGGTCTCCTCTGAGTGATTTGAAGGCAGTCAAAGTGGCCTGACAGGCTCCAGGAAACAGGAACAGAAGAGGTAGCCTCTGAGGCTTCCTTCTGTCACAAACTAGAGTGGTGAAGCCACTAGCATGGGAGCAGATGCCAAGCACTGGTTGGGCACAGCTCTGCTAACAACAGTCTTCGTTACAACAGACAGTGAAACAAAATTTTCTCCCTAGTGGGGCAGGGGGAGCCAGCTGGCAATCCACAATGATCGGATGATCCGTGCATCTCACCACCCCATTCACAGCCCAGCCCCTCTGCAGGCAGGCAGGCACGGCCCTACTCAGGCTGCATTTCTACCCCCTGTGACATCCCCAACGTCAGAGGACAATGTGCTAAACACAGTACCATGTGAGTGAGAGGATGGCCATATTTTCAATTGGGGAAGAAGAAATCAAGTCCATCGTCTAAGGAAAGCCCTGAGCTGACCACTCTTCAGCAGCCTGACTCCAGTTACTATTCCTTCTAACTCCAGGACTTCTCCATCCATGACTCCCGACACCAGCTCCACCTCAAACCCCAGAAAAGGGCCTAGAAAACTGGACCAAGCCCACCCGCGAATGCTCCTTCTACCCCTTTACCATTTCATACCAGAACACAAGCATGTCCAAGAAAGTGTCCTGTAGGGCTTTTGTGTCCCTATCCTCCACACATGTGCCAAGTGCCTGTGTCCTGGGCTCAGGAGGTATGGCCACATACAAGCGAGGCCACTGGGAAGACTGTTTGTAGAGTATATGTAATTGGATTATGCGTATCATGCTCTATGTTTTTGCGAGTTCATTTAATGCTTCACTCCTCAGGTTCATGATTTGGGCTAAACTTAGTGAAGTTCTGTGTTCTCTAAGTGCTTCCAGAGCCATGACCCACTGAGGATGCCCACCAAAGCAAGAAGAGCCCTGACTGCATAAAAGAACACATCCTGCCCTTCAAGGAGAGGGAAGCATCCCCAAGCCTCTGCTTCTCCTGGCTGGTGGACCCATCGCTGGTCCCCAGTTCAGAGATGGGGTCAGGGTCGGTGAGGCTAAGGGACTCTGCCATAAACAGCCAGAGCCAGGACTCAACCCAGCATTACTTGTCTCCACGATGGCCTCCTGGAGGAAAGAAACGATATATTCTAAGGCCTACTTTCTCACCATCCTTCTTCCTCATGTAAAATTCAATCAACTGCCCAGCTGGTGTGGCTCAGGGGTTGAACGTTGACCTATGAACCATGAGGTCATAGTTCAATTCCAAGTCAGGGCACATGCCCAGGTTGCGGGCTCCATCCTCAGAAGGGGGCATGCAGGAGGCAGCCAATCAATGATTCTCTCTTATTGTTGATGTTTCTATATCTTTCTCCCTTCCTCTCTGAAATCAAGAAAAATACATCTTAAAAAATTCAATCAATTGAATCCAGCTCAACAACATCCTGGAGTGAATTCAAGAACCTTAGGTATGGCTTCACCACTCTAGTTTGTGACAAAATAGATACAAACTCCCTTTTTCTCCTCCTCACCCCCCACTTTAGTAAAGTGCATGTAACAGTAGGGGGTCTGTAGTAACTGGGTCCTGCCAGGCCCTGACTAACAAGGACATCTTCCAGCCTGTCTTCCGTAGATGGACTCAAGTTCCCTGTGGCCTCACAGGGGAGTAGGTGGGCTGGGCCAGAGAGCATGAGCTCCCTGACCAGCCCCCATCTCCTCTCCTCTCACACTAACCTGATGCTGGATCCTGGCCCTTCTCACCAGGAAAGGGAGACCCTAGAGCAGGGGTGGGGGACCTTTTTTCTGCCAATGGCCATTTGGATATTTATAATATCATTCATAAGCCATACAAAATTAGCAACTTAGAAATTAGCCTGCTATATTTAGTCAAACATTTAATTAACTCACCCCCAATGCCTTGGCAGGGCCAGATCAAATGCTTTCGCAGGTCTTTTACAGTCTGCAGGCTGACATTCCCCGCTCCTGCCCCAGAGGTATCTCAATCCACGCAGTAAGTATTCCACTAGCTACAGGCATGCCCAAGCCAGACATACCTAATTTATCTCTCACCTCTCTCTGAGCTGAGCCAAGACATGGCCCCAGAATTCTTTAACTCTGTGCCCAAGAGAGCCCTAAACAACTGACTGAAGCAGGAGGCACATCAGATGAAACTTGCCTAGTTCTCCATCTTTTCCCAAATGGGGTTACTGAGGCCTGGAGGATGAAGCAACTTGCTCAAAGCCCTCCTAATTCCCAGACCAGGGCGCTGAGCCACTTCTCTCTCTAGAGAGGCTGATCTAAGAGCCTCTTTGGACCTTCTCTTCACTGTCCTTTACAGCTAAGGACAAGACATCTACCCTCCTGCCACCAGCCTCGGCCCTCCTGGACCCCTGCCCCGTGCCATCCTTCTCCGCCTCACTTTCTGAAGTCAGCTTAGTTAGCTCCAAGCTCACCTCCCCTCTCCCTGCTGAGGAGGTGAGCCATCTCCTCGTTGACTTGAAGACAAGTCTGGCACCCAGTGCAGCCGGCCTCAGCTGTCCATAATTCCTGTCTTGTGAGGCTCTATCAGGTACAGCGATTGTACGGCTGCCTGCTTAATGACAGGGCGACGGCTGCATTCACTCAGAGCTGCAGAAGCAATTACCTTGAAAATGGGGTCACAGGCCCCACTCATTGGCTTTAATTGAATTCCAATATCTGCCGGGAGCTGCTTTGACCTAACTTGTAGCTTCCTAAATACTACTAAAAGGAAGTGGAGCTAATCCAAGCAGCACTTCTACCCCAATTTCACTCTTTTTTAGAAGTTAAAAAAAATTATTTTCACAAGAGGATTTTAATTCCACAGGGGGAAACAGGGGAAAAGGGGGCCCTACCCTGGCCACTGTAGGGAAGGGAGGGCTCATCCTGAAAAGTGGATGGAGATGAGGAGCTGGAAGAGGAGAAATTCCAGGACAGAACTCACAATGTGCTTGCCACCCGTGATCCCCCTTCTACCACTGTCAGCTGAGCCACAAGATGGAACTGGTCACTGAGGCATAGGACACAGGATGAGGGCTGAGCCCTGGGCTGGGAATTGGCCTCTGGGCCTCTGCCTGGCTTTGCTCCTGAACAGTATATGACCGTCCCTAAATCACTTCTCTCTGAAAAACAAGGGCATTGGCTGGATAGAGCAGTGGTTCTCCACCAGGAGCTGTTCTGCCCCTCCCAGACACTGGGCAATGTCTAGAGACAGTGCTGGATGTCACAATGTGGGGGGCTGCTACTGGCATCCAGTAAGTAGAGGCCAGACTGCTGAGCACCCTCCAATGCACAGGACAGAACCTCCACAAAGCACCGGGTCCCAACACTGGGTTAGATGATCCTAAAGAGACGTCAAACTTTGGTATTATGATGTCCCCCCCTGGGAGTGCCGCCCCCCAAATTCAATGGTTAAAAACACTGCTTGCTCACAGTCCCCTTTCCGAATTCCCCATGCTCCTTGCACATAACAGATAAGGGTCTGCTCCTCCCGCAGTGCTACCAGGACCCGGTCTAACACTTCATGTCCTTCCCCAGCAGCATTAGGAGCTGCCAAGGAGCTCACACCGGGAGTGCAGACCACATAACCATAGTGGATCCCAATGGCATGAGGGAGGGTTGGGACCCATCAGCATCTGTCACTCAGACCTCCGCCGCCAGGCATTTCTGGCCCAGAGAAATGAGCTGGCCCACACCCTCTTTTTACAGATGCAGAAACTGAGGCTAGAGGAAGAAATGAGCCTGCCCAAGGTCACACAGAAAGATCCAGAACTAGAGCACAAGTTTCCAGGTTTCTGCCCCAAAGTGAAAAGCAAAGAGTCACCATCTACCCCACCAAACAGAGAACTCTGGGGCCTGCAATTCCACGTTGCAATAATGACCTCAGTTAAGAAAAAAATAAGGATGAAAACCAACCAGGACCCCAGAATGGCTGACAGCCCCTCAGCCAACCAGTCCACTGTTTCCCATGCCTGACTATCCTTCAGAGTAATCCCAGATCTATGGAAAAGACTCTCTGGAGAATTACCTGGAATCTACATTCTCCCAAAGCCCCCTTGGGGATGCTGACCCAGGTGTCTGTGGATGAGAAGCAGTGCTCTCACCCACCCCCTGCATTTTATCACTTTAGGGACAAAAGGTGAACAGGTACACCCCAAGGGTAAGAACCATGTCCAAAGTCACACTGAAAAAGTGTTTTTGTTTTTTCCCCTCAGATGTTTACCTGAAACATCCTTAGCCTCAACCAAAGTACCAATCAAGAGAAAGAAGCTATTTGCAACCAAGAACTAAAGATGCTAACCAAGTAGGGGCTGGGGAAAGATCTAGCTTCCTCCTTTCACTGAGGGATCAAACCAGAAGTAGGTTCAGAAGGAGCTCTGGAATATGTTTCCCTGTTCCCTTGACCTAGGGGGTCAGGATGACCTGTGTAGGTCCTGCAGCTGGAATTCACAAGGGCACCTGAGGAAAATTCAGCCAGGCAGCTGAGTGCATGGGACAGCAGGGCCCAACCCCAAATTCCATAGCACGCTTCACATCAACAGCACAGCAGAGATAGTTCTGATCCCAGATGGCTAAAGAAAGGCAGACCTTTGCCAGGGATGGGGAACAGAGCAGTCAGGCCCTTAGAAGGCATGAGGAAAAGGTTGGAGACCCCATCAGTCAGCCTGGTCTTAAAGGTGATCTCAGAGCTCATCTCCCTCAATAGTGGGGACACCAAAAGTTGAGGGAGGACAGGGATGATGAGTTTAGAGGTTGATTTGAGACATGTCTTTAATTCAGGGACTGGGGGAACAATGAGGGATCCCACAGGGAGAGAGCCCCAAATGGACCCAAGCCTATGAAATGCTTCAGGAAATGGAGTCCTGGGGCTGCCATTCTTTGAGGCCACCTGAGATCAAAATCGATCTCTGGTTATGATAAATGAGAGGAATAAAAGGGCTATACACACGGTGAGAGGCAGATTGGGGAGTCCACGTACCCCGATGATGGCATTCAGCTCCGTCATGGTGACCTGCTTGGCACGTTCCACAGCTTGCGCCACCTGCTGCTGGTGCTGGAGGGAACGGAAGGGGTTACCTGGGCGGCTTGGGACAGGCCGCCACGCCGCAGAGGCAGAGGAGGTCCACGACACTGGCAGCGGACACAGGCGGGTCGTGGACAGGGCATTTTCACTTTCTACGTTAAATCCTTTTCAATGAGCATGTATTACTTTTGTAATAAAAACTTTATATAAACTGTTTTAAATTAAAATATAAATGAACCAAAAAATGGGTTTTAGTCAACAGCCCCACTCCAACAGACATACAAAAAGTTTTTCCATGCATAAGACTATGAGCAGGGCATCGGAAGACATTACTGAATGATTATTAATGTTCTAAAGCAGTAACAGTATTGGAGTCACGCAGGAGCCTGTTCATGTTGTTAGGAGATGCAGTGGGAGCAGAGTGGTGAGCTGTCGGGATGCCTGCAGTTTACACTCAAAGGATTCAGAAGAAATATATGTGTATCTAAATACAATCAAATCTGTACCTATCTAAATAGAGAGAAAACAAAAACATATGTCTACAGAGAAAGAGAAAGAAAAGCAACATAATGAACCCGAAAGTAAGCGATGAGTCGACTTTGAGTGATGAAGACGTGTCCATGTTATGTTCAACAGCTGCAACAAACGCACCATTCTGGTGGGGGCAGCTATGGGAAATCTCTGTACTTTCCACTCAGTTCTGCTATGAACCTAAACTGCTTAAAAAAGAGTCTTTTTTAAAAACCATTTTTCGGTGTATTCATTTCCTTCAGCCTTGAGGTAGCACCAGCTTCATATGCAGCTGTCTCCCCCACCAGGCGGCAAACTCTAGGACATGGCTATAAATGTTCTTACAAGAAGTCAATCATTTTTGACACAGGGCTCCAGGAGTGAGCTGAGAAGGGCCCAGGAGGGCCATGGTGGGCAGGGCCTGCCCCAGCCGGAGTGAGCTCTGCCAGATGGAAATGGGCCTCACAGGCAGCCATCTGTCCACCCTGTACCAAAGAGCCTCCCGGGAGACGCTTCCACCAGCTCAGCCCCCTCCTCAGGAGGGCCCCCCCTGCAAAGTGGCTCAGAAGGTGATGTGAGCAACCAGGCGTGCCTTTGGCAAGGGCACTGTTCTGAAGGGTGGGGTCCCTATGGGTACTGGCTCCCCTCACAGGGGCTAGGTCTTGACACTGACCGGCTAAGTGTCCTTGTTCCTAGATGTCTCTAGGTGTGGAATTTGAAACACAGGGAAGCAGAGTTCAACTGGATACAGCATGGGGGCACGGAGGCAGCTGCTGCCCATTGCTATCCCAGTGGCAGGCCAGGACCCTCCTCTCTGGTCTCAGATAGTGGCAGAGAATTAGTCCTACCAGAAAAATGAGCACATTGTTCCTCTGACGTGGCTCCCAGCCCCCGAACTGGCTGGAGAAGGCTCTGTAAACCCCAGGTTGTGAACTTTAACTTCAGTCCTATGAACGAACAGGGGCTAGAGCTCTGGTGGGACCTCGTCAGCAAGTGGCTGCTTTGGTAAAAAAAGACACAACAAAAGTCTTACCTCTTGTGACAGGAAAGGCATGATCTGTGCTAAAATTGTGTTCAGTCTCTTCGCAATCTCTGTCTGCAAAAGAAAGAGACCTCATGAAGTTCAGGCAAATAATTCACCACCAAAATGTCAGACAAGTGGAGGTGCAAACTCCCTCAAACCACAGACCCTCCCACCGGCTCATCTTCTCCACCCTCAGGAGCCTCTTGGCTAAATCACAGCATGAAGAAATCTTCCAACTCCCCACCCACTCTGCCTATATTCTGGGGATCTCCAATTCTCTGTCAGAGGTGGTCCAGCTGTCTGGGTCAGAATATAGTTTGTCTCCTCTGGATGGAAGCCCTAATGAAAAACAGAGCAACACAAAACAAGAATGACTCCCCTCCCCCAACACACACACACACATACACACACACACACACACACACACACACACACACCAGTTTCATGCAAGGTGATGTGTGGCTTACAGGGTCTCCTTCACCCCCACTTTTCACTGCTGCCTCTCCCATATATGTGCTGCCTGCCTAAAATCTCACCGTTAACACTATTTTTTTATGGTAAAGTGTCTCCTTTCCTAGAAGCTGCTCAGGAGGGAACTCTTTAGATCCCTAAGGCTTCATTGAAGTTGATCATAGAAAGGCTTATCGATTCCCTACCCCACCTCCTAACATTCCAGAAAACACTACATTTAGAAAAACACCAACTGGTTTTGCCACCCATGTGCTATATGAATGCTGAAAGAGGTTAAAAGAGAGTGGTGCTAAATGGTTAACTGAGGCCAGACAGGGAAGGCCTAGTGCTAATAACAGACAAGTCTCACAATTGCTTCTCTTATCTCCTTCTAAATCCTAAGGCCACTGAAGCTGAGGCCCCAGTACTAGCTTCAGAGCTCTCATTAGCACACAGCAATCTTCCAGAGACAAAACCATGACAACAGCCTTTAAAAATCTGCCATCATCTGCATGTCAAATGATTCTGGATGAGAAATCCTTGTGCACTTAAAAGCAATGCTGCTTGCTGGCTTACAAACAGACCCTGGACCTCTGGAGAATTCCTGGGGCAAATACCCCAACCCAGACACTGAGGAGGACACCTGTGGTTTGTGAGGAGCCAGCCATCCATTAGGAACTGACAGGCTTTTCCAGCCTTGTTGTTCTGGAGCTGCTGGCCACAGTGGCAGGCTCCAAACAGGGAGCCTGCACATCCATCAGTGCCTCCTGGATGGGGCCAGAGACTGCTCCTGTCTTCTGGACACTCCAATGCTCAAGAGCAGGGTCAGGGTTTGGCACTATGGACATCTGGGGTGGAACAGTTCTTTATTATGAAAGGCTGTCCCTTGTATCCCAGAGCAACTGAGTGTCAATAATGATCCCTACTTCCAAACTTCCAGGGTGATGAGGGAGTATCAAGAACCCGTAGCCACATCTGCACATTTGAGGCACACCAACAAGGACATTTTTACACCAGGGCTCCTCAACCTCAGTGCTACTGACATTTGGGGCTGACATTGTAGTTTTCTGTGCATTGTAGGGTTTTTAGTAGCATCCCTAGCCTCCACCTAGTAGATATCTGTCTCTCATAGTGTAAGGAACCTGGAAAGATTACTAAGTAATTATTGTATAAATTATTTTTTAAATAAATCTTTATTGTTCAGATTGAAATTGTTTCTCTCCCCCCACACTATAGCTCCCCTCCACCCGGTTCCCACCCCACCCTCTGCCCTTACCCCCCACACCCTCGTCCTCATCCATAGGTGTACGACTTTTGTCCAGTCTCTTCCCGCACTCCCGCACCCCCTCCTCCCGAGGATTGTCAGTCCACTCTTTTTGTATGCCCCTGATTCTATATTGTATAAATTACTAATCTAGGTAAGTGGGAAGAGTCGACTCCAAAATAGGGTTTTTTTCTCATTTCTGTTCATTTTTTCCTCCCCCAAATCAACTGATAGTGGGGAAGGAGAATGAAGTTTGAAAAGTCAGGGCTGTATATGGCAGGAGTTCTAGAAACAATCAGCCAGCCTGCATCCCTGTCCAAAGCCGCATAGAGCAACAAGGTCACTCAATGGTCATGAATCTCACCAGCTTCCCTGTATTTATTTTTCAGTAGCTAGAGTATCCCCCTCACCGCTGACCTGGGCCTGACCCAGTGTAGACAGCATCTGTGGGAGGGACCGGGTGGATGAAGTGTTGACATATTACTGGGAGGTGGGGTAGGCAGCAGCCAAGCCCTTTGAGAGCCACACCAACCACAGCAGCCTTGGTGGGTCCTGGCTGTGGCCCCTCCCCACAGCCAGCAGGCCAGCAGTAGGCTCTGAACTTCTGGGTCACTCTGGCCTACTTAGCAACTACAGCTCTCACCATCTCTGGGGTAGGTGGTTATGAAAGGGTTCCCAGCTATTGCTACTTCCTCTAGCAGATAGGCAAAGTGTCAGGGTCTTGGTAGTTACAGGAAAAAGTAGCTAAACTTCCCCTTCCCCGCACTCATCAGCTAACAAGCAGCTAAAGGCTTCCCCAGCCTGGGATCTTCTCTCCAGGCCTGGTTGGAGCCAGCGTCTTCTCATTATGAGGAAAAGGGAGCTGCCAGGATTTCAGGTAGCTGTGCCCACTTCAAGGCTTGGCACCAGGCTGCCAGGTGACCACACAGTATCATCAGAGCAAGTTCCCTCTCAGAGTTCCACCCCCCTGAAAGTGGTTTCTGCCTCCTTCACCTGTGTTCCAACATCACAAACAGGGCCCTCGGAACAGCCCACAGACACAGAATGTTCTGGAGGCCTGGGTTTGGCACCCAGGCTCCCTCCTGGGCTTGACCTCAATACAGAGGCCTCAGTTGTGCAGTTAGCACTTTGGTGCCCCATGAGACAAGACTGTACTGGGCTGGGCAGGCAGAGGAGGGTAGTCTTCCACCCAGAGGGCTTTATAATAAACCACAGCGCCCTTTCCCCGCCCTTTCCCCGTCCGGGATTTGTTTGGGTTGGGGAGAGCTGGGGATAGAAAGTATAAAAACTGCATCCCTCCTGGCCCTTCTGGCTGTGCCTGTGCATCACCTGCTGCAGCAGCATTCCCCTTCCAGTCTCCCCAAAGAGTGGACGCAGGGGTGAGCCTTGCCCATCTGCACACATGCCACCAAACAGAGTGGGGTACTCTGGCGAGTCAAAGAATGAACAAGAAAACTATCCACTACGTGATTTTTTTCATAATGATTTTTTTTTTTTCCCTTAGTGAGGGTGGTGATATGATAGCAAGAGGGCAAGTCCTGGAAATAGAGACTGGGCCAGAGAGGACCGACCACTCTTAACAACAGGATAAACAACAACCAACATCCACAGCCGCAGCTCTTCCAAGCATTTTATGTGTGTGAACTCACAATCACCCTAACAGGAAGGCACTTATTAAAATCTCCATTTTTCAGATGGGGAAACTGATGCTCAGCAATTAAGCAACTTCACTAAATGACTTCCTACCAAGAAACCAAATTTCCACATTTCGAGAGAGCTTAGAGAAGTATTTTTGAAAGAAAAACTACCATCAGAGTTAATAATTGACAACATTTCTGATGAGAGCAGCTGTTAAAATAGCATTTTATCCAACTCAAACAACAGTTCCAAGAAGGAAGAAAACAAAAACAAGATGTGTGATTTTAACTATCGGGATAGTCACCAGCCACAAACTGGAAGGAGACCATCGCTGGGAAATTCCTTTTGGCAGCTCAGGGCAGTTATCACTCAGGCCACCACCCTCCATCCTTCCCTCCATCTCAGTCCCACCAAACCACCGCCACCTTCGAGTCAGTCTCGGATGGGAAGCAGAGGAGAGGTGCCTACGGCAGAAAGACTGCTTCCTTTGGAAAGGGTGTGTGGGGAGCCTAATGCTGCTTTGAAAGTTTCTTTTCAAGTATGGTTCAAAGAAGGCGGCTTTTCTGGTAGAAAACAGTGCTGCTCGGAAGGAACTAATCTACTAGACAAGGCACTTCAGAGAAACGTGCACGGAGATCCTGAGAAGTTCTGGATCTTAGCTCCCAACTGGGCACTTGGAATAACATCTGCCCTGTGTCTCTATCGAGATTATTAGTCAAATAAATAGGAAACAAGATAGTGGGGGGCAAGTGTAATTTCCCAACGAGCAATCTGCTCAATGTGCTTTAGGAGTTCCCATTTGCCCCATCATCTCCTCATTAAAGCAGGACCTCTAAGCATCTTGCTGTAAACTGAGGGTACTTGAGCATTCTAAAGTATATTTCTCTCCCAATACACTAGCATCTACTTTGCTGCTGTTCACCACCCCTGGGCCTTAGAACACTAAATTAAGAAGATGGAATCTGCTGATGGTCCTCACCCCCAGCAACCTGTTACCCCTGGCCTCAGCACCGAGCCAGGCTTTGGCTTTTTTTTTTTTTTTTTTTTTTTTAATTTAGCTGACTGCTCAAGGCACAGCTGACAGGCACTTCCATCAGATGGTCTCTCCACTATTTCGTTTTAAACTGCCAGGCAGTTGTACCAGTCAGCTCTTGAGAATGCACCCTTCTTTTTAACCTCAGATAAATAAAAACAAGGAGAGGGAGCAACCTACCACTTTAAAGAGCATGTTATGACTCAAGGGCACACAGAAATGTCCTGGCTTCTATTCCCGGCTCTGCCTCCATCTAGCTGTGTGACTTTGGGCAAATCACTTCCCTCCACTGTGCTTCAATGCTGTTGTCTGTAAAACGGAGGATGAACTGGATAACTTATAAGATCCAGGAGCCACCACTTAAGAGATTAGAATACTAAACATTCTTGAACTGCTCTGTGACATGTCACTTTCTCCATAAAACTCAGTAAGATAGTGCATGGCAAGAGTCTGAAGGAAAGCCACCTGGAGAGGTGGGTGGTTGCTAGGTGGTGGACTAGGCTGGGGCTCAGTCCCAAGAACCAGTCTTCATAGCAGGAACCATTCAAATGTGACCATCAGCGAAACTGCACCCAACTGCCAGAGCACCGATGTCCTAAATCTCTCCCTGTCAAGCCACGGTATGGGTTCTCTGCTACACAAGAAAAAACTGGTTGTGGGCTGAAGACAGCCAGGCAAGACCGCCAG